TTTTATCCTTATTTAATAAAGATTGTCGTAGAAGAATCAAAATAATTGATGATGAACAAAATCGATTTTAATATTCTTAGAAACCAAAATTAGAAGTTATGTCAATTTCGAAGATTAGTTTGGTTAAAAATTCTTATTAAAAATTCTAATTATATTATCTTTTTCCAACAAAAAAAATATTGTCAAATCCCATATTCCATGTATAATATAATATTACCATCAAAATCAAGCAATTAATATAATCCAAGTTTATAACGTGCCGCGCATCCCATGACCCTTGGATGCTGTCACCTGCCACATCCAAGCTAATTTCACATAAAACATTCGGCTTGAAAGAAAATTGACATAATTTAATTTGTTTGAATTGAAAGCCTTGGAACATATGGAACAATGGTAACGTCGTGATGTGGAAAAAAAGATGGATGGAAATTTGACCAAGATATTAAGATATGTATATTTGATATATCAACGATTTTTTACATTAAATTACAGATGGAATATTCAAACATGGATATTAGGAATAGGGAATCGAAGCAGGAACTTTGGGTGCAAGCTCTTTGCGAATTCATTTCTGGTTATATTAAAACTTTGAAATCAATAAAGTTCAAAATTACTATTTTTCAATCTCTTGTCGTTTGAGTTAACTCAGAACGAATGTTTAATTTTTAACACTCAAATATATCGTTTCTCGAGTCCTTTTTTGTAAATTTATAGCTCATGTATCTCATCACGAGTTGAAGAGGTATACCAAATTTACTCATACGGAAAACACCTCATCACAACTTGAAAGTTGAAACCCTAAATAACACGCTTGAGTCTTTTGACTGGGCAGTCAGTCCTACGCCCACCTCAGAACGACGTCGGACCATTCTCCCGCTAAAACAAGCGAGTACAGAGTCGCAGACCGAGAAGGCAACGGCACAATAAAGACGTTGTCATCCTTCTCCTCAAGGAACGCGAAAAACGCGGGAGACAATATAAATACAGTCCCAGAGAAAACGGACCCAAACGCCTCCGCTCTGCCCCTCAACACTTTCCATTTTCCTTTTAATTTTCCCCCAAAAGCTGCAGTCTGTTTTTTAATTTTTGTTAATTTTTTTTTTCGTTCGAGAGGAAAAATAAAATTAAAAAACAGATTGCAGCTTTTTCTTTTTCCATTTTTTTTTGTTCGTTCTGTTCTTCTTCCTCTTGTGTCGTCAGGTGTTTCGGTTTTTTTTTAAATTAATAAAAAAAAATCGTTACGGAAGGTGACAAACGGCTGCCTCGGAAAATCCGTTACTTGTTTTTGTATCTGTTCGTCAAACTTTGTTTCATCATTTTTCTGGTTCAGATTCGGTTTCTGTCCAGTGACCACCATACCGCCTTATCAGGAGGCGGTTCAGATAAATGCTTGACCGTGACTTGGGTGGGAATTCCGACCAGACACCAGATACCAGAAACAGCAACTGAAACGGTCTGTAATTTTTCTCCTTATTGTTATCTGGTTTCTTTTCTTTCCTTATTCTTTTCAGTTTCCTTAATCTTTTGATTTGATTCCAATTGATGTCGGGTTGATCAGATTTTTGGGTCAGGGTCAGAATTCGACGTGGATTGGCTCATTTGGATATTTCTGCATCCGATAAAAGAGAAATTAAAGTTTGAATTTTGGCTCAGGGTACGTAGTTATTGATTAATTTGATGAAAACCCTTTAATTAATTTCAATTTTCTTAATTTATTTTCTTAATTAATCTCAAATGAGATGAAACAATTTTGGGTTTTGAATCCTTTGATGCATGGTTATAAAGTTGTAATCTTGATGATCAAATGTAATTAAAACCCTTGTTTTCGTTTCGTGTGTTTGTTTTTTGTTGTATTGGCAGAGGATCTTGAGAATTTGATCGGAGTTTGGTTGCTTGATTTCTGTCCGGATTGCTGTCTGTATCGGGAAGTTTTTCGCTGTGTGAGCCGGAATGGAACAATTCCGGCATATTGGAGAGGTTTTGGGAAGTATGAAGGCTCTGATGATGTTGAGAGATGAGATTCTGATCAATCAGTGCCAGTGCTGTTTGTTGCATGATGCGTTCACGTTGGCGTTTGACACGATCGGAGAGGAGATCCAGTTGAACCTAAAACTCGAAGAGAAGAAGACGAAATGGAAAGCGCTCGAGCAGCCTCTGAGGGAGCTGCACAGGGTTTTCAAGGAAGGGGAGCTTTATATTCGGCATTGCATGGATGTGAAAAACTGGTGGGGCAAAACAATCCTCCTACATCAGAACAAGGACTGCGTCGAATTTCACATCCACAACTTGTTCTGCTACTATGCAGCCGTGATTGAGGCAATTGAGAATGCTGGAGAGATTGCGGGGCTCGATCAGGAGGAGATGCACAAGAAGAGGGTTCTGCTCACGAGGAAGTATGACAGGGAGTGGAATGACCCCAAACTTTTCCAATGGAGATTTGGGAAGCAGTATTTGGTCCCGAAGTCGATCTGCAACAGGTTGGAGAGTGCTTGGAGGGAAGATAGATGGCGGCTTGTTGAAGCTCTTAAGGTGAAAAAGATTTCAGGATCCTTTGGTTCGACGAGGAATGAGCAGCAGCTTGGAGACTTGCTGCTCAAGAAACTGAGTGGGTCGGAAACCTTAAATGGGAAGCTCTTTCCGAGCTCAATCTTACTGGGATCAGCGGATTACCATGTCAGGCGGCGGTTAGGAGGGGGAACGCAGTACAAGGAGATCCAGTGGTTGGGCCAGAACTTTGCCATGAGACACTTCTTCGGGGATATTGAACCTTTGAATTCAGAGATTTCAACTCTACTCACACTTTCCCACCCCAATGTGCTGCAGTACCTTTCTGGGTTTTATGACGAGGAGAAGAAGGAATGCTTTCTTGTTATGGAGTTGATGAACAAGGATCTGCGCTGCTACATGAAGGAAAACTGCGGTGCAAGAAGGCAGGTTTTGTTTTCACTCCCGGTAGTGGTTGATATCATGCTTCAGATTGCAAGAGGCATGGAATATCTCCACTCTAGGAAGATCTACCATGGGGAGTTGAACCCTTTGAATGTCTTTCTTAAGGCAAGGAGCTGCACAGAAGGCTATTTTCATGTAAAAGTCTCAGGTTTTGGTTTATCATGCGTGCGCAAACCTACTTATCGAAAATCACAGCAGCAGAACGAAATCAACCCCTTGATTTGGTGTGCCCCGGAAGTCCTAGCTGAGCAAGAGCAACCAGGAAACAAAGGTCGTTCCAAATACACGGAGAAAGCTGACGTATACAGCTTCGCGATGCTTTGCTTTGAGCTCTTGACTGGGAAAGTTCCTTTCGAAGATTCACATCTTCAAGGGGACAAGATGAGTAACACTATAAGAGCAGGAGGGAGGCCTCTCTTCCCATACCCTTCACCAAAATACCTTGTCAATTTAACCAAGAGATGCTGGCACAGTGACCCATCTCAGCGCCTGAGCTTCTCATCCATCTGTCGCGTTTTGCGCTACATAAAGAAGTTCCTTACTCTGAACCCCGACGACGATCAGCCTATACTGCAATCCCCTCCTATGGATTACTGCGAGATAGAGTCATGGTTCCTGAAGAATAGTTCAGCTGCCTTGTACGCTGATTTATCCTCGATATCGCAACTTCCATTCCAAATGTTCTCTTACCGGCTTGGGGAGAAGGAGAAGACTAGCCCTGGCATCATGAGAATCAGGAGTCTGGATTCCATAAGTGATACAACATCCGCAAATTTCAAGCAAGAATCTCCGAATGGGAACGTTGACACTGTGTCCATTGCAGAAGATCCATTCGTACCACTAAGCGAAACGAGGTCCGTTTGTTTTGATGTGAGGTCCGCTTATGATCTAAGGTCAGTTTGTTCCGAGGCTCCAATGAAGAGAACTCTCACTGCGAAGAAACGTCAAGAGGCGATGGCTAGAAAAGCCTCAGGTCAGCCAATAATTCCACCTCAATTCATTTCCGTACTCGTAAGAAATACTGATCAGCAGATTACTTTAAGCCCTAGGGCTTCTGCACTTTCACCATTAACAATCTTTGACTGGAAAATTGTTGTTCAGGTTACACACGTACATCAAAAACACCAACAACACCAAGGCTTTCAACACCAAGACTCTCAACGCCAAGGCTTCCGTCGCCAAGATTTCCATCCCCAAAACTTCCGCCACCAAAACTCGCTTCACCGAAACTTCCACCAGCAAAGCTTTCGGTTCCAACAAAACCATGTCTACGCGGTATGAAGACAAACCAAAGCCCTCCACTGCCGAGTCCTATGAGCACAAAGAGTAGTACGAGCGGAAGCAGGCACAGAACGGGCGGACACGTCTCGGATTCGGAGATACATTAGGCGTCTTTTGGTTCACATCACATATTTGACACCAGAAACTTGCTGGCGTCGAATAGAGTTTAGCAAACTGTAAAAAAAAAAAAACACGATATATTTCAATCAAGCACACATCAGTTTTTGTTCCCCTCCATTTAACAAAAATTCTAGTTCCTTTTTAGAAACAGTGACTTCTTGTCTCTCTTTATCTGTAAAATTTAAATTTCTTACCGTTATAGGTATATGAACATAATTCCATGTATCGTCTTTCATGCACCCTGTGTTTCTTTTTCATTAAAAAAAAAAAAAGGAATCATTTAGCACTACGGTCTAGTGTTATTCCTCTTCACTTGTAAGTAAGAGGTCTTACGTTCAATTCTCACCAAATGCATATTTGAACTAGATTACCCCTCCCCTTAACGTAGATAATATCGTTTGTTCGATTTTCATTAAATGCGAATTTCTACAGCATTATTACTAGCTCATTGTAAGGCTAAACCTACCTCCTCTCTCTTAATGTAGATAATATTATTTTTTTCAAAAAAAAAAAAAAAAGAAAAAAAAGAAAAAAGAAGCAAATTAGGTAAATTTTGGAAATCACGAAACGAAGAAAGTGGTTTCTAATTCAAGTTAGAATTCAGCATGTCATAGCTGCAAGATAAAATTAAGTTGACATAGTCCCACCCAAAAAATAAAAGATATAATTGCGCAATCGCATATGAGATACAAAGTCAATTCTGTGATCTCCCAAAAACAAGGTTGTCCTATAAATCTAGTTGCCGAGAATTTACAACAGATGACCCATAATTTCTACACTATATACTGAAAACAACTCAACCGAGATCGTCTTCTTTGCAAGTGTTGCAAATGCTTTCCGGACGTTTTTCCCAACAAACGGCTTGGTCATATGGCTCCTTACGAAGAAGAGCGTTGTACTGCACATACATTCCGATCTAACCGGCTTGCCACATTATGTGATAGCTGGTGTGAAAATGATTGACAAACCTGGTCCAAGAGTATATTCATCTGCAACCTGCTTCCCTGATTTCACATTCGGTCACAGTTAAAAAATTTTGAAGCCGAGTATCACAAACCGATCCTCAAGTCTCCTTTGTTTATTGCAATACGGCACTGTTTGAAGTTTGTCAGCTCTCGTGCTGGTATGTCAATCTTCGGATTTGAAGATTCCAAGTGTTTTCACAACCAGCTGATGTCCTTCGGATACTATATATTGCAGCTAAAACGTACACCATCAATCATTTAGTCGGTTTGGCCCCTATCAAACGAGGATGTGGCTAGAACCCGAGATGCGCTAAGATTTCATAGTCTCTGACTCCATTCCAACTTACTTCCTAGGGCTTCTCTGTATGAACTTACAGTTTCAACTTTATAAACGGCCTCCAGAAGAAAACTCAGGGAATAACAAAACATCAACAAGGTTTCAAAAGGATAGTGACTTCCTGATTGATGTCAAAGGGGTTACCTTTTTCTTAAACAATCTGTAACACTTTTATACACCCGTCTGAATTGGCAGCAACAACCATGCCTGATTTCCCTCTCCAGCAGACACTCGAAACCCATTGTGCACTATAATCATCAGTCTCCTTTCCAGAAATAGGATCAATGGAGCCAAACTTGTGTGAAGTGATCGGCATAGGCAGAGATCTATAGTAAGCATAAACCTGAAGGATATCAACACAGAAAGTTAAAGTAGTTGATCGTACTATGATTAAACCGTACATCTCACACAAGCACACTACCTCGCCTTCAATTCCTTTTACTTTTCTTTTTGGTTAAAATTTTCCCCATAACTCAATTAGAAGCCCATTAGTTGTTCATTTTATTAAATACAAGTGCTCATGTGCATGGGAATTAATCATGTACCTCATTCGTTTCTGAACCACATGCTATGTAACCATCTGAAACGGATAACCCGACAAAGTTCTGGGGGAGTAAGCATCCGAAGTGTGAACCAACAGAGAAAAAGAAAAAGAAACTTGGTCAGACAGTTATAAGGTAGTTAGAGCAAGTATTATCCAGATCTCAAAATCACACGAATATAAAAGAGATTCTAGCATAAAGAGCCAATAAAAAAATTAGTGGGGTAGCCAACCTTCTCATTAGTATGCCCACCAAGGGTTAGGCTGCAAGCATCGGTGGATGGATCACTCATACTGGTTCTGTTAAGATCCCATAGCTTTAATGTACTGTCAGTGGATGCAGAAACAAGGGTCTCCGAGTCCAAAAATTTCACATAGCTTACAGCTTTCTTATGCCCATCCAGTACACACCATGGAATTTTAGTATTACGAAGATCATAGCAGTAGGTGCGGTAGTCCGCACTCCCAAAGGCCAGCAAATGAGAGGAGTGAGCAGAGAACTGTACACAGCATACATTTGCAGCGTGCTTGATGGTATCTAAACAGTTTTTCTGAAAAGAAAATTCCCCCCAATAAAAAAAGGGATTTCAGGAGCATCACAGATAATCTTAAGCAATAATCAGTACTAAAATGAAGACATTCCTAAGTGAAACACAGATATGTCAGGCATCATTCTTTACAGGGATAGTGCTATATTTTGAGCATCAAAAGCCCCACCAGCACTTATGTTGAGGCACTGGTGCAGATCATATGGAAAGATGTTATTAGGGATTATTTATGTCAATTAAGGATATCATATTCTACTTCAACTTTGGAATTTTTATATTTTGTCGGGGCTTGATTGTAAATGGGATTTATTAACTATTAGGAGTTGTTTTCTCCTGACTACAGTTTCTGTCTTGGCTGGGTTTGGACTGCCTATCATATAATAAGCCTTATTATTATTGGTAATCAAACCCAGTAACAAATAAAGCTAATGACGAAACCCCTGATAATAATAAAAACAAATCGTAGCTAAAAAAGTCCCAACAAAAATTAAGCAAGGCCTACATAACACAAATTTTAGACCTAAAACAAAATGTGAAATCCTAAATTGACATAAATGTATAAACATGTCCATATTATCTGGCCATGGAGACCCTTACCGCTCTTAAGGGTTTCTCAAATATGCTCAATTACATAGATCAGTAGCAAACATAATTTAATTTATATAAGAATCATAAGAAATCAAAGAAAGAGAGTCTTGAATAGTAAGTTTGAGTCTTAATTTGAGCAAATCCTGTGATTGATCCAAAATAGAAAAGATACAAAAACACACGCACAATAGTAAATTTGAGTCTTAAAATGAGCAAATCTTGAGAGAGAGAGAGAGAGAGAGAGAGAGAGAGAGAGAGCATGCCTCGTTGATGCTCCACAATTTCACAGAACCATCATCACTTCCACTGGCTAATGTTGTTGGATATACTTGAGAAAAGTCTACAGACCAAGCCCTCGTTGCATGCTCAGTGTATTGAGCAAACTCTTGACCAGTGCTGGCATCCCATAACTGGATATCCATATAAGTATATTATGTTAAATGCAATGCAAGAATTCATTAAAAATAAGGGCGAGCAATAGTCACTTTTTTTATAATATATTTGGGAAAATGAGCCACAAACAAATCCATGAGAAAAGACATGGATAGACAAAGTCTCAACAGTCATATATCTCTATTAGACTACTGTGAAACATATATCATAAGGATGAACATGCAGACGCTGTCAGGTCAACATTCAGACATCACTAAGTTTTTTTAGTAACATAAACCGTGAATATAGCACAGGATATACACACCTTGATTACACCATCATAATCAGATGAAGCCAGATAACTTTTGATGTAGTTGTTCCAGCAAACACATGTGATCCTTGATTTGTTTGACATCTCAATCACCGGATAATGAATATCAACAGAATCGTTGAAGAAAGCATTAAACTCAAAAATCTTAATTTTCATTGAAACCCCAGCAGTAGCAAAATAGTCTTCATCCCGATCAAAACTCATAGAAGAAATTACTTTAGAGGAACTGCTGAAATCTCCATTTCTTAGTATGCCACGTACTTCAAACTTACTATACCGCGAATATTTACACAAACCATCAAAGATGGCTCCCAGTCGATCAGTGCACGTCTCCTTGTCTTCATCCTTTGTTCCCACATACCAATTATTGCGAGTTCTTAATAAATCTTTATCTCTGCGTATTCTAGAATCAGTCTCAGGAATCTGAATTCTTGATCTCATCGAGAAATAAGCACTCTCAAACTGATCTATGTTTTTCATCAACCTCGACTCATTTGAACTAGGAACAGGAAATAATGGAGAAAGCACCTCTGACCTTGAATCTTCTTTGCTAACGAACATATATTTCCTTCCACTGAGGGATTCATCGTACAAGCCACAATCAATCAAGGGTTTTCTTAGAGAGTGCCTCCTCTCCACTTCTTCAACATCTGCTTCTATGAACCCAATGGTTTCCATCAAATTTGCAGCATGGTTCTGCTTCTGTTCTTTCAAAGAACTAAGGAAATGCAATAATAAATCCAATTCTGCATCCTCTTGTTCCACAGAAGATGACAATTTTTTTACAGAAACCTCCTGTAACCTGTTAACTACTTCAGATTGTAGAATTTGCCTGTCATAACCAATGATCAATCGCCCAAAAAAAAACCAATGATCACGTCGCCCAAAAAAAAAAAACAATGATCATAAAATCAGAAGTCAGGATAGTGCACTAGAGTACATATATATATATATATATATATATATATGTTGGGAGTGACCAAAGCGATTACAGACCTAACAAATTTTCATCAAGTTAGATTATACTAAAGTATTCACTAAAGGAGCCTCAGTGCACTTCAGTAGGGTATTGACAGAGAATTATAACATCAAACTCTAGTCATTTGTACATCCAAAACACACCTGGAAGATCATTGATGAAAAAGAAAAACTGAAGGATAATGAGGTTCACATACAAAGCTTCAACCCCTCAGTACGATTATTATTTTTCTAAAAGAAGAAAAAGCACTTCCCAAGATCCACAAGTTTCTATTGACAATTGAGAAAATTCCTGCAAAGATCCTCCACATGAACCCAGGTTAATTTCAATTGTGATTCAAAGTAATATTAATCAACTAACTATAATAGTGGAGCCCTAGAACAGGGTATGGGCTTAAGATTTTTTAATTCAGGTTTCACATACTATTAATGGTCTTCAATTTTCTCCAGTTGCATTTCAATAACACTGTTTTTCCATACATTAATACATACGTATAACACCTATTTGGACAACCCTTGACACTATGACTTATGGCTCAATCAACTAATTTCTACAAGATATCTTTTATGAAACAAATATACTAAATATTACTCCTTTCCAATATTACCTTCAAAACTATTTACAAGGAACAGCACACCTTCACACTCATAAATTCAAAAACTCTGTAGCTTAGGTCAACTAAAATGTTATGAATTAACATGACAAGGGTTTGGGATTACCTTGTCGTTGGGCGTGAAGATGGTTCAGGATGTAGAAGCCACATAATAAATCCAACCTCCTTACCATTTTCTGACAGGAAATTTGGGGGAAGAATTCTGTGCTGCAGATTGGACATTGCGGCAGAAAGGGCTCTGTTTGAGTCAAAATGAGCAAGTAACTGAAAGCAAAGACCCAAATTAATCCATTAGATTTTTCATCAATTTAGAAGAGAAATATAATGTGTCAAATGCAGAAACACTAATTTTCACCTCAAAAAGAAGAACACCCAGACTGTAGATATTTGAAAAAATTGTGCAACTTCCTTCACTGAGTTCCTCAGGACTAACATACCACTTCTCTTCCAATAGCTCGCTTATTGGAGTAAACCGCTGAGCTGCATAATCCATATGAGGATTGGTGGATATGGTACGTATCTCATGCCTTGTTCTTGGATTATGTTCATCAAATGCATCACTTCTGTTCTGCAAACGAGTGCTGTTGACGTGGCTGGTATTCACATTATCATGCATGCAGTAGGCAGTGCTAGAGAACTGGGGCCAGTGCAATCTAGTGTTCTGAATTATCTTTTGCTTTTTCCTGATTGAATTATTTTCTGAAAGGGATATATCTCTATCCCTCATACTCTCAAGCATCTCGTTCCGGACTGGTAAGCCAACATACTTAACCTGATTTGAAGGTAACAACTTGAAGAAAGAAGGTCGCAATCCAGGCAAAGAAACTCCTTTAGAATGAAAATTATCCACCAGATCCACTATTTGTCTAAATATATACAAGCATTCAACTTTATTCGCCTTAGGACGTCCAATATTCAGCCATTCTCTCAAACTGTTTTCATCATGATTAGAGCCACCACCCCTAAGCCCGACATTCACACCATTGGAAGAAGGCGTAATGACATTTGCATTCATACTCATTGTTGGATTAGAAGCTACCAAAGAATCACCGGCCACCTTCAAACTATTCAGGTTTCTAGATTCAATGTGACAATTCTCAGGATTGGGACCCTTCAATATGACACCCTTACCCTTCAGTGTATTTTTAACAAAAAACTCAGAAAATCCTGGCCTAGATAGGATTTTTGTCCGAATACCTGCATAAGTGTTGGCTGAAGCCCCCGTATTTTCAATGTTTGTCAATTCTTCCACAACGTCATAGTGATTGTCACTTAATTCCCTTTTATTCCAAAAACCAGGGAAAGATGTGGCCCCCTCATTCTCCAAGCCACCTGAAATTGCCTTCCCGGTATCCTTGACTGCAGTTTTGACTTGTGAACTCCCACTTCCTGATCCACTTGCTAGCTGAAATAAATGTTGTTGCGGGTTCTGCCTAGATTGCATTCTTCCTTGATTGTTTGATGTATCAAGCATGGCTAGGTTTGAACTATTGTAATTCCTCACAGTTAGCTCTTCCTCCATGAAACCAACATCATTCCTAAAGCCTAGGCCGCCATATGGGTGTTCTAATTTGTTAACATAGCCGGCCATATCTACTTTCTCTAAAATCTCATGTCGCGAGCTTAAGGGATAATCACCCTCAACTGGTATACGCATCTCTTGGCATTCCAATGGGTTGCCGTTTTCAGATTTTAGTGAGTAGTCATTCTCTTTCCTTTGGAGTTGTGCAACCTCTGCTGGATCCAATGGGTTCACTTCCTCAGCCACTGCATCCTCCATGATGTGTATACTGATTGCATTCAACAAAACTCTTCACAACCCTCTATAAGGGGATTTGTCCAGTGAGAGACCGCGTTCAAGTACCTAAAAGTATTCCTCAAAAAGTCATAAAAACTGTAAGACTATCAAAAAGGCAAAAACAATTGCACGCAACCACATCTTCACGATGACGCTTCGATATAGTTACAGTCATTCTGAACTGGAATTCATGATCCGTTCATCAACCTTCAAACGCCTTCCAGATTTTTACACACAAAAGCATAAACAAACAGAAGAAAGAGAACCAAAATTGATCAAAATTCCTAATTTACGCATATTGTCAATCAGCAATATCCTACTTAATTACAAACACTTGATACATAAGTTAATTACACAAATATCAAAATTACAGACAAAAACAGAGAAATTCAAGTCTCACCTTAGACTAACAAGTAGTAACCAATAAGTTAACTGAGCTGATAATATAAGATAACATATGCCACCTCCAACATTTCTTATCCCAAATTTTCTCGGCAACCAAACAGAAAGTAAAATTGAAATTGAAAATCCAAAATTCATTCAATTCACGCACACACTCACCTGAATTGAAGCAGAAAAGCAGTTCCCACGCGAAGCCAAGAAACGCCGACGACTCAATTCTCGGAAGCAGGGAAGAATCAGATGGGCAGAAACCGGAAGAAATCGCCGAGCTCAAAACCCCCAAGGAGAAAGCCAAAGCTGAAGAAATAAAGTGAAAAGATAGAACCCAAAGTGTGAAAGTAATGCTATTATCTTTTGCCAGAAATGGAAAAGCAAATATCTTTCGGCTTTGGCTAATTTCGGATAATTTTCTCGCTTTTTTATTTTCTTTCTTTTTCTCAAATTGTGGGTTTTAATTTACTAAATTTCTTGAACGCACAAAAATGGAGGTTGGTAATTTTCCGAATCCAAAACGCGGAAAAGGAGCAGCCTGTCAAATTTTGGAGCCCATTTATTTGTTTGTTTTCATGATAATTATTATTTCTTTTTAATAAAAAAAGTAACGGCACAGAACCGCCCCGTTAGCTGAAGCAAACGAGGCCATACCTTCTGCGAGTGGTTTTTATTTTTTATTTTTTTGTTGTAAAATGTTAAGGGTGAATTAAAAAAAAAAAACTCCGTTTTTAAGGCATATTTTTAGGCATATTTGCTGGAACCCGATATCAATCTTATTTTGTATCTTAAAACTCAAAAGTCATTATTTTGCTTTCTGAAATTCGATTTTGATCTCACTTTGTCCTCTAAAACTTAAAAGTCGCCACTTTGCATCCTAAAACTCGTTTTCGGTCTCATTTTGCCCCTTAAAACTCAAAAGTTGTCACTTTTCTCCCTGAAACTTGATTTTGATCCCACTTTGCCCTTGAAACTAAAAAATCATCACTTTGTTCCCTGAAACCCGATTTCTGTCCCACTTTGGCCATTAAAACTTAAAAATCGTTACTTTACTTTCTGAAACTCAATATTTACTCCACTTTTGCTTGTTTCTAAGTATTCCGTTTAATAATGTGGCATAATTAGAGCCAACTTATGGTTGGTGTGGTACAAGTATAAGCTAACATATCTAACATTGTATAACATTCATCCCTTCTCCCTCCATCTCTATCCACCTTATCATTAGTTTCATTGATTTTGTCATTTCTTACATTCTTATGTTCTTCATGGAGATGGCTAGTGAAGAGAAAAGATGGTTCTTTTTGTTCCTTTTTACTATTTTCAGGGGAAATTGACATATTACTAATTATAAATTTGAATGGATGAACTTATTCAAAAAATCAAAACAAGATAATAAAGAGAATTTTGAGTTAGTAAAGTGGTGAGTTTTGAATTTCAAGGATCAAAATCGAGTTCCAGGGAGTAAAGCGACGACTCTTGAGTCTCAGGGAATAAAGTGTGATCAAAATCGAGTTCCAAAGAGGAAAATGACGATTTTTGAGTTTCGAGAAGCAAAGTGAGATTGAAATCTTTAGGGTTGCTAAAAATAAGCCTCTTTGAAATTGTACACTAAAATTTTAAATGGTGTCATTTATAGTTTTCTTTTTGTTTGTTCGTCTTCATTTGGGGTGTGTAAAAAACACTTTTATGTATAGTGAAACAATGATTAATTAATATTTTTGGTTGTCGTTTTGAAATATAAAATCATCAGTTAAAGAGATGTCAAAGTTCTATGATAACTATTTTCGATCCTGATAGTGTAATTGTGACTTTCATGTCATCGTGAAAACGCGTTCAGTGATTGCCACATTTACAATTTAAAAAGATCAACATATCAAATATCTTTAAAAAAATACATAAATTGATATAATTTTATAATATCAAAATTTAATGTAAAAAGTTTAAATCTTATACTCTCGGGTTTTTTAACTTTAATTCTTCAAGAAGATTGAAATTTAAAATAAACATGATGTTAGATTACATATTGATTATAATCCCTTGATGTGTTCTTAATTCAAAATAATTAATTTGCATTATATTTAATGTCTCCCATTAAATATTTAAATTTATTAATATACAAATTTTAATTTATTTTTTGACCAAAAAAGAGTTTTTTAATTTATTAATTTTATTTAACATTCTTCAAACTTGAAAGTGTGACATCCCACATCGCCCAGGGGAGTGATCCTTATATGTATATTCTCATCCCTACCTAGCACGAGGCCTTTTGGGAGCTCACTGGCTTCGGGTTCCGTAGGAACTCCGAAGTTAAGCGAGAAGGGGGCTAGAGCAATCCCATGATGGGTGACCCACTGGGAAGTTGCTCGTGAGTTCCCAAAAACAAAACCGTGAGGGAATGGTAGGCCCAAAGCGGACAATATCGTGCTGGGTCGGGATGTGACAGAAAGGCTTAATTAATATACCTAAATGAAGAGGACAAAGGATATCGAAATATATTGTATAACAAAAATTAGTTTATCTAAATGTTTACAACAAAATATATTACGATAAATAAAATGAAAATGAAAGTTATAATGAAATAAAATAAAATTAAAACATTAAAATTTAAGAAGAAAAAGATAAATAATTAAAAAAAATTAAAATATAATTAATAAATGAGGTTATTAATGTATCGAGTGATTAAAATTAGATTTTTATCTTGCTCATGGTTTTAATCTAAAAATCATCTTTGCCAAAGATTAAAATGAAGTTTTCTATTTTAAAAATCAACATAAACGTAAAGGGTGTAAATATAATAAATATATGCTTCATGAAGCTCAACTTATTTGAAATTTTGAATATTCACACAAACAATTGGTGGAAATGAAAGCAAATATTTCAAAAAATTAAAAAATGATATTGTAAAACAATTGATTTTAGTTTCATGATTTTTATTTTTGGCAAATAATCTGTAAACTAGAGACATGGAACTGCAGGTATGGAAGCAGAAGAAGTGACGCATGAGAAACAAATTGAATGCTTTTCTTTTTTAATTTTTAGCACGTGTTTAAAACGTGGAGGACATATTTATCTTTTAATGATTTTTCCGTTAAAAAGATTCTTTTGAGCTTTTAACAATAATTATTGTTGTTATTGTTGTTGTAGATTCTCTTAAGCTTTTAACAATAATTATTGTTGTAGATTCTCTTAAGGAGAAAGATAAATTCATACATATATGCTATTCTGATTTGATTAGTAATTTTTGCATGGTGCACGAATTTCACGTATCCGACGCTTTGCCAAATCTAATAATACATAAATTAGCTAAGTTGGTTTCGTATTTTGATTTGATTTCTCATTAGTTTGATGTATGATGTTCTCTTGAATAATTGCACGACTCTTTAATTGAATCCAAGCATCATGTCATAAGTTTTTTTAATTTAACACATCTTAATGTTTTGCAAAAGAAAATTATATTAAAAATATGAAAAATAAATAGGATGGAGGTAATACAAAATATTGATAGATGTTTCAAATTTGTCGTATAATTTTCCCATGTAAAGATCGTACAATCATATGAAAAGAAATTTGAGAGGTAATATGACATTTATGAGTGACTGCTTTTGAAGGAATTATTTATGATCAAAAGCGCTTATTACACGAAAAAACTCATATTGAAAAAGTTTTTTAGCCAAAATGGTATTTGAGATTTGCATAACACATTAATTTGGTCTCTGACATTTCAAATCAATAGAAGTGGTCCTTGAGATTATCCAGCATGCATCATTTTGGTCATTCCATTAAGTATCCCAGAGCTCTTGGTCGGAAGTTTGGGCAATTTTCAAGGCTTTATAACTCAATCGTTTCTTAACCAAATTCGACCCATAATATATCAAAATGAAGATAAGAAAGTGTAGAATAAGATTATACCATTTGGAAGCCCAATGGTTGCTGGAAATGGTTAGAAAATAGCCTCACAGTTGACTGGTCCGAGGAAAAATTGAAAAACTTGCTGGAAACTGGGTAAACTTTAAACGTTCATAACCTCTTCAATACTCAACGAAATCAAGATCATACTTCTCGACGAGACGAAGAGAATGGTACCTTTTTAAACGGCTAAATCGCAGTGGTTTGGCCAAAAAACGGTTGGAAAATGGCTGTCTTGGTCTCGAGTTAGCTACTTTCGAGCCATTTTTCGGCCAAACCACAGCGATTTAGCAATAAAAAAGTACCATTCTCTTCGTCTCGTTGAGAAATATGATTTTTGTTTTTCAATCACTTGATTTAGTTGAGTATTGAAGAAGTTATAAACGTTTAAAGTTTACCCAGTTTCCAGTGAGTTTTTTTGTTTTCCCTTGGACCAATCAACTTTGAGGCTATTTTCCGGCCATCTCCGGCAACCATTGGGCTTCCAAATAGGTATAATCTTATTCTACACTTCCCTATCTTCATTTTGATATATTATGGGTCGAATTTGATTAAGAAATGATTGAGTTACGAAGTTTTGAAAATTGCCCAAACTTCTGACCAAGAGCTCTGGGATACTTAACGGAATTTTTAACAGAATAACCAAAATGATAGATGGTGGATAATCTCAGGGACAACTTCTATTGATTTGAAATCTCAATGACCAAAGTGATGTGTTATGTAAATCTCAGAAACCATTTTAGCTAAAAAGCCTATTGAAAATCCTAAGCACTTGGAAAAAAGCTTGTTGAATGACATTTGGCAAGCATCAATCCAAAAGCCGCTTTTATGACTTAAAAACGTTTTTTAATTCTTCTACGAAATATCGTTAGAACGGTTTTTAACTGTCAAAAAATGTGTTTAATTATTTCAGACTCCCACTAAAGAATATGGATACTCTCCGGATTCTCTTTGTGAGGATTCCGATGATCCGTGAACCGTGTCTGCTCATCGTACATCATGCGGTCATAAAATCATTTGAAATATTTTTATTTTAAATTAAACACAAACAGTACTTGATAAAAACTAATCGCATGATGTATGATGAACATACACGATTCACAGATTCCCAGGATCCTCACCAAAAGCATCCTAAAAGGATCCTGTTGGCCCACTAAAATAGTAATTCAAAAATATCGAGTTGATCATTTCAATCAAGTCACTTCCTAACTAAAATGTGATCCCACTTCGTTAAATCAATGAGGGAAAAACCTAACTCATACGGTTTGTCCTCATCAAAAACTATAAAACCATTTTCGATTTGTGTTTCTAGCCACTCAATACTACGATTTAATGATATTTTTCTTTATTTGTAAATGAAAGGTTTTAAGTTCAAATATCGTAAATGGCAAATTCGATACCAAATTAAGTTATCCCATTATGCGACATCCAAATTCCCACTCTTCTTAATAGAAAATATATTGTTGTACTAAAAAACACTGTATTTCTAAAGAGGCACTTTCAAGATAAAATTCAAACCGAGAATAAGTGGCCTCCAAGGCGCACGTTGGTCCAAAGGCCAACATATGGGCTGCTGCACGTGCCCCCCAACAGGTTATCACGGTCAAATCACGTGGCCCATCACGGGGACAAGACCGCTAGCGAGTGAGCTCAACCATTCGGTTCTTTCACGCCACGTCATCAACCATTGCTGGGCCCATGTGCTGGAGCTGCAAGCACAAACGTTTGGGCTTGAAACGCCCTAATACCCTATACTTATCTAGGAAGCAATCCCATGGTGCTGCTAGCTGTACTCGGTCCCACATTCTGTCGTATTAGGTATCGCTAGAGTACGAGAGATTTGTAGCTAAAATGATTAAAAACATTACTCCATATTGAGAGAACCCAGGCAGCTCTCCCATCAACCGAGACCAAATGTGAAGAGTCTCGAGCTTTTATGAGAGTTACGCTGTATATAACGTGGTTAAGCAACCTTACTCAAGTTTCCTTGACAGTTGGTTTCCTCTTTTCAAAATATCTCCGGTGTCAAATACGAACAAAAAAACAAAAAAATGGTGCAAGAGATTGAAATAGTAACCTGCAAACATAACCTGATAACTATTTTTTTGGTAAACCATAACCTGATAACTTTACACTTGCAATAAAAAAACGAAATGCATACTGGTCTTAAAATTTCAACCCTAAAGAAGTAACAACACTTCGAAACTAAGAAGAGCAAAGGTTTCAGATCCCAACGTAAAAGGATAGTTGAGAGGAATCATGTGCTGTTTCTTCAGTCCTATTCGCAATCTGTCTATCGATCTGTGTATTTGACAACTATGTCAAGAACATCTAAAGAAACCGATCAAAATGCGACCACTGATATTCGCTTGCAGTCAGAAATACGTCCATCATGCATCTGCAGCTCCATCATGGTTCCTATTAATCACCCTTGTGGATAATCAGTTGTAGCGGCGTTCCTGAAGCCAATGTGTGAAACACAATTACAATAAAAACAGTATAAACAAGTATAATTGGCTGATCAAGGAATAACGCGCTATGATCAACACAAAAAGAACAGGAGAAACTTCGAAATAGCAGTTCATCTGTCAAAATAAAGATATACACCACACACATTATCAATTTTCTTGTTGGTAACAATAAGCTTGAAGCTCATTGATGAAGAATTTTATGAGATTTTGGAAAACCTTACAAAGTAAGGCATCAACCACGGAACAGGTGTAAAAGGTATGTTCTGAGCCTCTTCCCCCGACCCCCTAGTTCCTCTTTCCGAAAAATTAAAAAAAAAACCCTGTTTTTGGCTGCATAGCTCAATGCTTTTGTGTTTTGCTGCGCTTTTTTTCTTCAAACAAGAATTATAAATTCAGGTTTATGGATCTGGACAAATGGAATAAAGTTACATATACACAAGAACAAAAAAGCAGAAATCACAACAAATGACCAAAACATTCAGAAGAATACTTTTTTCTAATCTAATTCAATACTAAGACAAAAATCGACAGAATCAATCACATTAGTGTAGAAAGAACACAGCAAGTCGCTACTAGCCAAGAGAAGAAACACCATTCATACCACTACCAGGTATTTCTCAAAAGCAACAAGTAGCTACAAGGGTCATCTTTTTTATTACCTGGGTTGCTTTGACCTTTTGAATTGCAGCATAGAAAGACCGACCTCCATTGCCATTCTCAGAGTCAGAAGAACTGGAACTGGAAGTAGAACTAGAACTGTCATCACCATTGCAATCATCACCCACCTGCACAGGAGACCTTAAAAATTGTGACTCCTCTTCTGCCCCCTTTTTTTCTTCTTGTCTTAAGGGCATTGCATCACTATCATCGGTATCACCAGAACTTAAAGATGAAGTTCGCTTTCTTTTGAGCACCTTTGGATTCTGTTCTACACTTGGCAAAGCTGAATAGTCATTGGCTTCGGGGTTTCCATTATTGTCATCATCGCTATCAATAACCAAAATAGGGGATTTCTGAGCACCTGACATGTATGTAATACTTATGTTAGGGATCACAGAGGCATTGGCAACAAGGTTCTAGGAGAACTTTTGAAGATGACAAAAATAGTTCGTTGTATAATATCAAAGGCACCGAAAATATTCATATATAAGTTTTCATTGTTGACCTACATTTACAAAGTTCCTTTAAAGAGAATATCTTCAAAATTATTCTAAGGATAGCTTAGGTTGTAACATGTATAATCTCCTTAATACATATCAGTAGCCACACCGAATGCATTAATTGCACGTAAATCACAAATACCTAATGCATGTCCAAATTTTATTCTCCGGATAGACTACGCGAAAACAGAAAGTTCTCTTCCCCCAAACATCTGTCTTCAAATTTACAGGGCGAGAGGAGAAGGCATATGAATGCATATATCATATGACCAAGCATAATAAACAGAAACATCGTCACATACATCCACAAATTCATAATTATTTCAACAATTATACTCTCTTTTTTCGCTACCTATTCAGTTACTCTTTCTAACTATGCAACATGTGAGGAGTACGCTGGAAGAAGTAAATAAAACACAATCTGCGCTCCTCTTTCGCACGTAAAATACTTAATTGGTAATCAGCCGACTAGCAATCAACGAAGGTTCTTAACACATTCACACACATTGATGCATAATTCATAAAGCTTTAGCAAAACACAAGCAGTAAACTCAATTAGCCAACGGCAAGCAACTAGAATAGAGTGGAAGCATGCAAACATCGTAAAGTTCTCCGATACCTGAAGTTTGCCGATCTCCATTTCCTTTAGAATGCGAAGGATCGCTTGGAGAAGGGTCTTGTGCACTCGCTGCCCCGCTTCCATTTCCATTAAACTTAGACACATTCTCCAAATTTATCACAGGGGGGAAAGAGGTTGCACTATGATTCCCATTCCACAATTTCTCTGCTTTCTCCTCTATCCTCGAAAGTCTTCTCTCTGTTTCCGAATATTCCCGTTCAAGCAGAACCTCAAGCTTCTTTTTCTCAACCTCCAACTCACTGCACTTCCTCATCAGCCCTATAACCGCATCGTTATCATCTCCTCCAACTTCCCTCTTCATCTCCTGCAACAGCTTTTGGTATCTCTCGTTCGCAACATTTCGCTCATCCGCAACTTTGAGCATGTCCAGCTGATCAAACTGGTGCTGTTCTTCCAGCTTAACATTCTTGTTCTTCAGGTCTTTAATCTCCCTCTTCAGCTTAACCTCACGGGCTACTAAATTCTCTTCAGCTCGGTCGAAATCCCGGGACAAAAACGTCGCCCGCAGATTTGAAATCATGTGGGAAATGCTTGGAATTTCATTTTCTCTGCTAAATTCCCCCATTTTCAAGCACACTGATACAGAACAAGAACCAAGTTAAGTCCCCAAAACAATGAAAACACTCAAAACACACAGAAGACCCCTAAACACACCCACCAACAAATCCCAATTTTCTGGCCGATTCAACCACCCAAACAAGCCAGAAACATGAAGAAAAAAAAAAAAAAGAAAAAACCCCAACACCCATAACCTGAAAAAGGAAAAGTTCAAAACTTTGTGAGAAACATACCTGAAATAGTAAAATGGGCGACCCAATGTGAAAAAATGAGGAATCCTTGTCACCAAGAGGGACCAAAACGGTAAAACGAGGAATGTTGGAGACCAGAGAGGGATGGGAGGTGATGAGAAGTGTGAGAGGTTTTGGGTTTTGGGAGGAAGTTTTGAAGCAGGAGAAAAAGTGCGGGATTTTTTATGGTGAGGGGGAACCAGGGAAGTCAGAGGGTCAAAGAATTTGAAGAATCAACTGAAGAGATGACGATGCTGACGCTAATGCTGATGCAAGGAAAAAGAAGGTGACAGGGTTTTGGGAATGTTGGGGAGTTGGCGTGTTGTAGTAGTGTTGGCGTGTTTTAGTAGTGTTTGTAGTTATTTATCCAAAGAGAGACAGACTTAAGAGCTAATTACAGATATAGACCCTGAACTTTGGTGGAAGCTTCAGTTTGGTCTTCAAACCTTTTTTATTAATCCCAAATCGGCTCTTAAGCTTTTAAAATGTGTCAAATGAGGATAAAAGTAACGTCAATTGCAAAATTTGACAAGTTTAAAGATGTACACAATTTATATTTACATATTATTTAATCAAGTTTGTAGGTAAAATTTAATTTTTCCATTTCAAACAATTTTAGTACCAGCTTCGGACTAGATCTACCAATCTTTTCTTAATATTTTAGCATAAATATTTACTCTGGACATAACTGTTCACATGTTATCGGACTGATATTTTGATGAAAGTGATTAAGTTGTCGAAATGCTCTTTAAAAAGTAGTCACGTGTTAATCTATCAATTTTTTGTAACAAATATCACATTGTAAAGAAAAAGACACGTGTAAAGAAATAATTTGGGGCAAAAAATACTGAAGGACTAAAGTTAAAATATTAAAACTTTAAGGGGCAAATTGTAAATTGACCCATGAACTAAAAAGACTGTTACATGGCATTGTTTGAAGACACAAAAACCACACACGGAATAAATGAGGAAAAAAACGAGACCAAATAAAATCCAACACCCATCACTTGAAGGTGAAATGACAAGCTTAACCATTTATTCGCGTATAAATTTCAATTTAGAAAATTTACAACCAGTTTTGTGCTTATAAGAGAAACTTACATGTCTCCTTTTCGTGTCATGTCAAGAGAATATCTCCTTCTCGTGTCATGTCAAGAGAAGGAAGGGCACGAATACATTAAGAGTGGTTTAGGAGTAGTTTTGTGCTTACTAACATTAAACGGACTAACCATGGCAGAATGTTGTAACACGGTTATTATCATCTTGGGTTTGAATTCGTAAACTTTATTAGAGAAACTTACATGTTACGGGTTCATGCCCCTTCATTGTTCTTTAAACTTGCTAATTATACATCAGAGAGAGATAAGAAATGTAATTTTCCATTTCCTTACTTCCTCACCGACACTAATACTTCTTCATCCAAGAATACCTGCAGCAGTGGCATCAGATAAAACACCAACCCTTCTTTCATTCTGTTCTTCTCCCTTCGTTTTCTTCTTTCCTCCTTGATCGTCCTCGAACTCTGGTTCTAACGCCCTCTTTACGGTGCTTGTCACAATTTGTACGTCTTCTCTCAATTGCATTGCGGTGCACGGACTCCCTTGATGTAGCTGATCTTTGAGTTCCTGATTTTCCTTGATCAGCTCCGTTTTTTCTTTCTTTAGGTTTTTCACCTCTTCCCTTTCGGCTTCAAGAGTTCCTTCCAGCTTTTTCACCAAACCTTTCAGAGAACCGAACAATGATTTCTGCTCGGCAATTACGAACTCGTAGTCCTCTTTCAGCTTTCTCTTTTCCTCCTTTTCTTCTTCTAGTTTTCTCCTCAGTTTTATAGTTTTTTCGTTCTTACTCTCCAACCTTCCACTTAGTCTGTCCACTTTTCTTTGAGCCCTTGAAACTTCAGCATTTGCTTTTTGAACCATTTTCCGAAAATCTTCTGATCTCTTTTCCAACTCCTCGTTGTCGCCGTTCAACCTTTTCGAAATAGTGGCAGCAGGGATTAATTGTGATTGTGTCTTTTGAACTCGCAGTTCGTCTTCCGATGAGCCCACTGTATCATCAAACACATCCTCCCCTTCTTCTCCATCCTCTTCTCCATCAATTTCAGCTTCCTCGTGTGTTTTCCCATTATATTTTCTTTTCTTCCTCTTCTCCTTGTCCTTAAAGCTCAGCTGCACATTCGAATTACCGAAACAAATAGGATATCAGCATCTACAACCAAATTCCTACCAATAGTGCGTATATAACGTATATGTAACTTCATACCTATTACAACTGCACTGTATTGCATAACAGTTATTATGTAAGTGCTGAATGTTGCAACTATAAACTTACCCCAATGTCAGCGACGTCTATTTGTTCCAGTTTCGAGTGCAGTTCCTGCAAGTTCCATTTTACGAGAGCTGGTCTTTGTCCCTCCCTTCCTTTGATTGGTCGTATGAGGTTAGTTCTCTCACACAACCAAAGCTATTACAATGAAAATAAAACAAAACTGCAATCACATATGACGGTACTCTTACATTAGGAAAGTGTTATAAACTAGAGTTGGTCAATTACCATTATGACAACTACACATCCAGGAAGAGAATATCCATCCGACATCTTGGTCCGTTTTCCCAACGATTCGTGTAGAAGGTCAGCCACTGCTTTTGCCCATGAATATCTTGAAATATTTTCTAAATCTTCACAATACTTTACTATACTCCATGAATTTAACCCACCTGAGTCACAAAACAAGAAGGTACCGCATAGTTCTAGTAGAATCAGGCGTGCAACATCCTCTACATGTTTTTCTCTCTTCCCTTTTATTGCTTCTTCCAAAGCATCATGCACCATTTTTCTTGACACTTGTTTCTCCTCGAAATATTTTCTGGTAAAAACTGATTCGTATTTCTTTGATCCTTGTAATTGTACTTCATTACCTTCTTGTGGGAGTCCCAGAATTTCGGCAATGTCTTCTGTTGTCAACAATGCTGATGTGCTACCAAACTCAAAACTCATTGTTATTGAGTTGTAGCACCTGATGATTTTAAGGACATCACTGTCTGATTTCCTGCATTGATCTTCAGAAATCACGCCGTAGTAAAATGCAGATATTAATGGCCAAAATGGAGTTTGCCGCAGTAACTCCAAGTGCCCTTCAGTTAAGTGTTTCTTAACTCGCTGCATTGTATTAAAAAATGACTTCATATTACAGCGGTACTGCACATGTTTTTCTCCTTTTGCACTTGTCCACGTTCTCATCTTCCTTTTTCGTGTTTTCTTATCTTCCATCTGCTTCTTTGTGACCCCTATACAACCTTCATATATATAAGTTAACAACATACTTCTACGCTTATACAGAAATCAGACCAGAAAAGCACAAATGCACAATTGTCAAAGATAAATCAACACTTAAAAACATTACCCCCTGACTACCAATTAACTCACAAAACTCAAAATTAGCATGAATTAAATTGCAAATACCATATAAACTCCTTAATCCAATACCTGAAATTCTGAGATCTTTATTTCCTTTAACACGAAGAGAGCTTACACTGCTACTATTGTTTGCAGTCAGACGCTCACTTCTTCTTCTTTGCAAGTTGTTACCCTCCCTCAGTTTCTTACTATGCTGCTCAAACTGCGAACTGCAGGTCTCCAACTCAAACTCATCTTCCCCTTGTTCTCGATCTTCTCGTCCATTAGTTTTAGCTTCTTCACCTGTTGTTTCGTTTTCTCCTCTTTTCTTCTTCTTCCCCTTGTCCTTCTTAAAGCTCAGCTGCACAGTTGAATTATCCAAACAAATACGATAACAGTTGTATGTAACTTCATACCAATTACAACTACACTGTGTTGTATAACAGTTATGCAAGTACTCATATTATTAGTACAAAACTTACCCCAACGTCAGCAATGTCTATTTCTTGCAGTTTCATGTGCAGTTCTTGCGTGTTCCACTTTGCAAGAGCTGGTTTCTGTCCCTCCTTTCCACTGATTGGTTGTATGAGGTTAGTTTTCTCACACAACCAAATCTGTTAGGATTAAAACAAAAAAATTAATTCATATATGAAAGCACTCTTGCATTAACACGATACTATATGTAAGAGTACGTTAATTACCATTATGGCAACCACACATCCATGAACAGTACATCCATCGAACCTCCTGGTCGATGCTTGCAATGATTTGTGTAAAAGGTCAGCCACTGCTTTTGCCCACGAGTATCTTGAAATATTCTCTATATCTTCACAATACTTGACTATATTCCATGAAGTGAAGTGGGTTGTGCCACTAAATAAGAAGGAAACGCATAGTTCTAGTACAATCAGGCGTACAACATCGATTTCTCTCTTCCCTTTTATCGCTTCTTCTAAAGCATCATCCACCATCTTTTTGGACACCTCTTTTACATCGAAATATCTGTTGGTAAAATCTGATCTGTATCTTGTTGATCCTTTCAATTTTACTTCTTCACCTTCCAGAGGAAGTCCCAAAATTTCAGCGATATCTTCGGTTGTCATCCTTGCAGATGTGCTACCAAACTCAAAACTCATTGTTGTGGAGTTGTAGCACCTGATGATGTTGCGGATACCAGACACTGGTTTCCTGCATTGATCTTCGGAAATCACACCATTGTAAAATGGCGATATTAATGGCCAAAATGGAGTTTGTTGAAGCAACTTCAAGTGCCCTTCGGTCAAGTGTTTCTTAACTCGCTTCATCATATTAAAAAATGACATCATAGTACAACGATATTGTATATATTTTCCTCCACTTCCCGTCTTCCGCTTTTCCATCAATTTTCCCATGTTCTTCCACTTCTTCGGCTTCCTTTCGTCCCCTCTATAACCTATACATACAAATATATATGCACACATTAAAACTAACAGAATTATACCAAAACCAGTTCAGAATAGCACAAAGGTACAATCATCAAATGTATGCCGATGCCAATTAACCAATTAACAAACAAAACCCAAGCACTAAACTCAAAATTACCACAAATAAAATTGCAAATTTATATACTTAATTTTAGATTCAATGCCAAATGCTACATTTTGTTTTCCATTTTAAATTGCTACCATTTTGATTGCGTCTTAAAAAAAACACTTATGTTCATCAGCGCGTATATTAAAAGTACTTCTATTATAGACGTTAAAATTTTTATTAAAAATTCAAGTGCTTCCTTGAAAAGCACTGAAGTGCTTTTTCGACGAAACATTTGGCAGGTGCTTTAGGTTGTTAAAAAAAGTTTTGTTTATCCAAACTGGTTAGTC